ACATATATTTATTATTTTTATTATATTGACCATTCAGCCATGCCTGGCTAACAATACAGAAGTTACAATGATGTGGCACACGTGCTCTCATATTACCGTAGCCAATAATATAAAACTGACCTTTAGTCTTTACAAAATGACCTGTCTTGGCTGTGTTTTAGTAGACTAGTATTTTGTAAAATTCAGTCACACTTCCATCATTATGCATTATATATGTATATAGATTATTACTGTTTAAAAATATGTTCTTAAACTTATTTTTCTTAAAACATATAACAGTAAATAAAGAAGTAAAGCAAACAATTATCTTTTCTGGTTATGACTTTTGTACTCAGTTGCTGCTTGATGTAGGTTGCTAAGCCTTTTAAAATTTTGCACGTGGAAGATATGATATATATACAGTTGAATAACCAGAAATTCATAAGTTACTGTATTGATACCATAAAGTTCCACTATTATTTATGAAGCTGTGTAACTAAGCTGTATTTGGGTCTAAAAAAAAAATATGAAATTTTGAGCAGACTTAAGACACAACCTACCTCCTTGAAATCTTGATTTGAAAGAATGAGATGGCTTCCTAACGCATGAAAATGGCTAAGAAAGCTGCTAAGGGACATTCTGAGCTTTCAAATGGTTATTCACGTCATATATTGAAGTAAGTGTAAATAAGGGACCATTTCCAAAAATGAAAAGACGTGAGAGGGGCCTCTGTGTTTGATTCAGTACATGAGTGATATTTCAGCAAATAGAAAAGATATGAGGTTCGTATTGTATACTCTGATTTGTCAATATCGGTAATTTGTGTTCCTAATTTGTACGAAACTATAGATTCAGTATTTTGACACCACACGCATCTAATTTGAACCAGTGCTGCATTCAACATACCATGTGACACACAAAAATCAATGTTTAAGAATGTTTTTTAATATTTACTTTTAAATTAAGAAATTGAATAATGTATAATACTAAAATTTGAATTATAATCTACAGTTTGATAACAAACTTATTAACATAAATTCATGAAATAGTAGTTCAATAAAATTTTGAGTGCGAGTTAACAAACGCGATGACATGGCCTTTAACCCGTGACCTGTCTGGAAAAGGTTAATGAGGTTTTGCTTGATCTCATGCAAGCCTTATTCAAGCTGTGGCCTTCTTGCCTTTTGTACCATCTTTCTCTCCTGACTTGTTTCCTCCTTCTTGCCTGCGATTACCATTGTTTGGATGTATATCCTATAGATGCTTCTTGTATAAGTATTCCTCTTCTTGGTCTGATCTTTCCTTCCTCAGACTTCACCCACTTGGTTAGGTGACCATACTTCTCTCCTATCTCCCTTCCTTCTGTGTCTTGCCTATTTCTGGCTGTTTTCTCTCCTGATGGTTTTTGGCTTCCACCAATTGCCATTCTTCAGTCTCCTCACTGCCTTTGATAATAATACATACTCTTTCTCTTTCGGAGTCCCCTTTTCCTACCTGGGATCCCATCAGGTGGCTAGTGTTGCCTCCCAGGGTATACTTACTCAAAATCTGCATTTAACCAGGATAACAGAAAGCACACATACCAGCCGTCCTCACTCTGTCTGTGGCCACTGTGAGATAGGGTGTTCCACAACACCACTTGAGGTATCCTCGTTGTATATATATATATATTTACTCAATTGTTTGATCTAGACCATACCTATTTCATGGGCTATCATAGAAAAGACCAACACCAAGGAAGTGTTATGCCCATTTTTCTGGCTCATTCTTGCTGGCTTTTAAAAATAAGGTTTTGTGGTCACTCATTGCACTGTCTCTAGTAGAAGACCTTTACAGCTGAAGGTCCAATGGGAATATGGGAACTTTTCTTTATAGTTCCCCAATGTAAATACCCTCCCCTTTTGTTGAGTGGAGCATGGGAAACCCTTGCCACTCACCAGTTCGTAGCTGCTGGGGTGGTGAGCCATAAGAATTTTCACCAGTTGGACTTAACAGCTGGGGCTATACAAAGGAGTACCAATATGGTGAGAAGTGGGGTGGTGGTGATACTATTAGAGTAGTGCAGGTTACCCTTCATATACATAATGCATGCCACTTGTGCCCTCCTCCTGTAGCCGGTGTCTGCTCTTTTGAGGTAAGCACACAATATATGAATCACGATGTAATGACCACAGTGTCCTCCTCTCACAGCTGGATTCTGACAATAGAGTTGAGGTGAGCACACAAGGTACAGTCTGAATGTACCCCAACCATACTATGCATATTGGCTATCTGATATTTTGAATGCAAGTACTGAAACAGTCCTGTTTTTATTTTACTCATCTGTGCATGATGTGGGGCTGATTTGCCTCTTTCTCCCTTACATTTCGGTGAAGAGTAGACCCTGGACAAGATAATGTGCCCCTATGGAGCCCTTGCCATCAGATATTACATTTCATGGGCTTCCTTTGGGCTCTCTTAAAGGGGCTCATCTAGGTAAACTTTGCATGGGCCCCTCCACCCCTTCAATGTGGGATTTAACTAAGCTATATGTAGAGTTGAGGTACCATTTTGGAAGTTAACATTTTCCTTTCCTTAGATACTCGTCTCTGCATACATTCCCTCCCATCTTCTCCACTTTTGGTGCATCTTTGTTTTCCTTGCCTCAGTGAAGAATGAAGTTTCTATGAGTGCAAGTGCATGTGTGGTGTTGTTGCACATGGAGGTGTGTTACCTTCCTATTGGTGGAGGACTTTTGCTACATGATGACATCATGCAGCAGTGAGATTCATGTTGAATCATGTGAAATTAGGTGGGAGTTGTCTCAAGGCTAGTGGCATGCAACTCTCTCTGGCAGATGCATGAGGAAGATGGCTAAACTGTGTAAAGAGGTGAGTATCTATCAGAAATACATTTTTGGGTAAGGAAAATGCTAACTTTAGTGTATTAATACCATCATTATAAAAAAAGTAAACAAGATGTCAAATGTAAGTATTATACTTCTTGTTTTTTTCGTGTATATTTTTATTTATTGTTATAAAAGTAGCTAAAACCTAAAAATTAGAAACTTATTAGGTTTTAAATAAAGTTAGATTAGGTAAGACAATGAAAAATGATAATAATAAATATTCTTCATGAGCAAGCTCATGCATTATGTCATTCAATACGGTTATTTGAGCTATGTGTTCATCAAGTGATTTACAACTTGTAGCAGGATTATTAGTTAGATGATTTATATTGCAATACAACATTTAATTCTAAAAAGATGTAGACTTAAGCTACTTAGGATAAACAGTTGTAATTTTCTGTTACAATCTGCAGTCATTCTAGAAAAAACATTGAACTTAGATTTGCTTATAATGGTTACCAGGTCAGTAAAATTGACTGAGTTTACATAGAGTTAAAGTAGAGAAAATAAAAGATGAAATATAAAGTTGTTTTACTGCAAAAAAAGTTTGATATTTATTTAAGAGGTTTCAGAGATTACACAGATTAATTTTTAAAATTTTCAGAGTAAGAAAAGTATTTCTTATCTTAGCATGAAAATCACTTTGCACTTGGAGCAGTCAACATTGATTCCATATATTCATGAAAAAACTGTGTGTAAAAATATTAAATTGAAAAATCTGATTTTTTTTGTACATACACTTGTATAGTAAAAGTTTGTCAATTTTTGTAAAGGTATATTAAGTACTTTCGTACATGTAGTATGTATTCCCTTATGGTTTCATAGTGGTTACGAAGTTGTGTAAGATACATGAGCCTGTGTATGTCGGGTTAATCAATAAACAGTGATAATTGCTGTACTCTTCAAGGAATAGATACAGTCTGTGTATCTCTTGATTAAACAAAAACATTCTATTTATTACTGTGAAATACATTGAGTGTGCTTAGTAGGCCTACATTTCAGTTTGAGATAGCGTTCTTGAAAACAGTCATCATCTCAGATCAGAGTATTGCCATTCGATGTGGAGATTATAAATAAATACATATTTGTGATTTTTTATTGTTTTAATAAAGGAAAGAACGAAAATATGAATGCAAGCAGTATGTTTAATTGAACCATGTTTAGTTTTTTAAATTGTTCTGTACATCACCTCCAAGATCTTCATGCATCACTAGTTGAAAATCACTGTAATAAAACACATCAGAAACCTATTAAAAATCATTGGTGCACTTCTCTTAATTTATTTTATATATATATAAAAAAATGTACTGAATATCATTCAAAATTCTTGATTTTATTTTATAGCTGTGAAAAGATTAATGAAAGAAGCCCAAGAATTGAGACAACCAACAGAAGAATTCTTTGCTCAACCTTTAGAAGTAAGTTAAAAGTTTCCAGAACTGCATAGAGGACATAGCTGATGTGATGGTATATTGGATTACCAAAACTTAAATTTTGATGCTTTAGGTGGGATTTTGGGAATCTGAAAGTTACTGTAATTTGTAAGTTTGGTGGAATAATTCTGATTTTTAACTTGATTATGCCATTATGGTCATATGCTTTAATTCCACACCACCTTTTATATTTTATAGGCTAGCTACAATCTGGTAAATTTGTTATTGGGTGACATGAAACAATAATGCTGTTGAGATTGTAGTGATTTAAGCATTTGTACTTCTGCAGCTATACTATAACCAAACTCAAATCCCTTCATAACACTGAATAAGATATCAGCCAATCAAAAATCATGATAAAGCTAGGCGATTCAGATGTTGGGACAGATATATCAGTTTCATTGGAAGGATGTCAAAATGAAAGACATTTAGTCTGGAATGCATATCCAAAAAAAAAGCACAGGGAAAAATTTCATATCTGGAAGCTACCGTCACAACAAAGGGACTTAGAAAGAAATAGAAAAAAAAAAAACTCATCGGCATGTTTACTATTTAAATGATACATGTAAAGTAAATGTGAAAAATAGGGGAAAAAATCAACCACATCAGTTACAATATGGATAGAATTGTGCCTCAAACAGAACTCTGGCATAGCAGGTCACAACTCTAATTCTAAAATACCATACAAATCAGGAAAAAAGAAAGAAAACTACAAAAGAACAAATGGCAAGTGAAAAGAACAAAATAAAAACCATTAACTACAACAATTACAAATGCAATTCTTATACAGAACTCTTGCCAAGCATGGATGTTGCAGGCATGTAAGTCTGAATATATCAATGATTGGCCATACATTAAATTATCCAAAATAAGTGTAACCCATTTTGTATGCTTTACTCTGTAAATTCATTTCTGGTAGGATTGAAAGTGACTGCAGAAATTAAATCCTTTTTATTTTTCTGCTCAGATTCCTACTTTACATCAATTAATGTTGGCATACCTGTGTCCATGTTCATTTTATTTTCTACTTAACATTTCCTGAATATGCTGCTTATTAGGGAAACTTACAACTTTTCTGTTGGATATCACTGTACCTGAATACCACAAGTATATAATTAAGAAAACAATTGAACATAGTGTCTTTTAATGTGTAGTAGTATACACATTTCACATACATTTGTGTTCAGGATTTCTTCTCACTCTTAACCCTATAACCATGGGTATCCTTTACTGCGCATGACAAAAGGTTTTAGTGTCTTTCATTCAAAATTTTATTAAACTATTTTTTGTTTATGTTTTACCAATTAGAATAGCATAAAATCTTGGCTAATAATCCATATTTTAATAGTATACAAGTTTTAGATTTTTAACCCTACAAGGCAATATTTTAAAAAATCCTGAATTTCCACTTGTGTTATCCATGTGACACATTTTCTCTTAACATGTCATCATCCCTATTTTATCCACCACCCCTCAAAAAAGTACAAAATTAAACATAAATTACTCTCTACAAAATCATTATTGCTCAGACAAACCATAATTTTTGTAGTATTCAATTTTTTTTGGTTACAGAGCTGTCAAATAGAAAATTAGACCCCTCCTGCAACACCAACCTGTCACATCCTCTCTTTCAGAATTCATTGATAGTTCTCTCTTACGTTTCATTATATATTACCTATAACCAACAGAAAGTCAAGGTTTTTATCTATCAAATGATGTATTGTATTGTCGCATAGTTAGAAAGCCAAAAAAATTTTGAGAGGTAAGGGAATTTGTCTACTTTTTGCAAGTTATTAGTCTGTATTCTTTGGTGTATTATTTAGATAAAAATTATTAAGTGCATTACTATTATTAGTATAAAAAATTAGGGTTATCTCTGAAAACCAACAGCAAGAAAAAAGAAGATTAGTTAAGTATTTTATTTCTTGTTATTCATGTTTATTCTTTATGTATAATTATAAAAGTAACTAAAATGTAAAAATAGGGATCATTTTAGATTTGTTGAGATTAGATTAGGTAAAATAAATAATAATATTATAATAAAAATGTTTCATGAGGCACACACGTTAGCAGCTTGTGGATAATGTAATTTGTTAGCGTAACATGAGCTACATGTTATCCGAGTGATTTACAACTTATAATGGCGTGGAGAGTAGTGAGACAAGGTTCAAAGAGCAATAAAACAATAAAATTTAATTATAAATAGATGTATACTGTTACAAACTTAGAGGTACTTAGGATAAACGAATGTAGTTTCATGTTACAATTTGAAGTCATTCTAGAAATAAAAAAAAAGGGTAATTTAGGTTTATTTCAATGTTTTTGTTTTGGTTGTTATGAGATTGGTCAAATTGACCAATGCTGTTTTGAGATAGGTTAGAGAAAATAACAGATAAACTATAAAGTTTTATTGAAGAAAAAAAATTTTGGAGGTTTTAGGGATTACACAAAGGAAATTTCAGATTTTTGAGATGAGGAAAAGTATTTTTTTATTTTAATATGAAAATTACTTTGCACACAGACTATTCAAAACAAATACTCAATATATTCATGGACAAATAGGGATTATCCTAGTTTGTAACTTCCCTTCTGTCCCATTCCATCAGCTCTTCCTCTGTGGCAGTTTAATTATATCAATGGAACGTTTTCTGCCATTGGTCTTTGGGCTGCAAACTTGTGGCTGTTCAACCCACTAAAAAATATGATTTTTATGTTAATTGAAAGTCTGCCAAATTTTAGGAAGATATACACACTATATTGAAAGCTATAAGTATTAAATCTATAAATACTTTAAATGACTACAAAGAGGTCACATGGTCGGTCATATTGACTGTACCTGTTTTGAGAGAGTTAAACCTTCTTAAATATTAAAACATATATTTAGTAATTTTAAGCTTTCTTAAGCCATTGACCAGTAACATTAGTACATTATGTTTCCATGCTTTTTTTTTGTTTACAGTAGCCTGGATATTGTTTTTCTGTACTAACATTGTTTAATTTTGGTCAGCACCTTACATTTATTAAGAAATTAGACCTTGCATTTTCCTATGCCTTATAGATATGTTACTCGAACTGTGAAGTGAGGTTTGCATAAATGAGGTTGGCGAAATAAATCTGTTTGATATATTACTGATGAAATATTTAAATTCATAACAAGTAAAATGATAAAACAAACTTCTGATATGGAACTTACCACTTCTCATAAGATTAGCTATTCTTGTTCAGTGCTGCCATCTATATTCAAACTCTTCTTTACACATGTCACAAGCCTTGTACACCCCATTTGTTGGAATCACTATGTTCCAACATGTCTCTCATGCAAATCATCATGCGTCATCTCTTAACCATTAGTAACGTGACATGCTCACGAGATGCATGTGACTCCCTCTGTCCACCTCTACCGAACCTTCACTTCTCGTTTGGCAATGCTCATGTTCACACGTGTTGAATTTTGCTCTTGTGTACTTCATTGTAACTTTAACTGTTTTATTGCTGCAGTGGTTTACCTTTTCCAGTTTTATTGCAGCTGTGGTTTTCTACTCTTTTCTGCTTATACAGCTGACGAATTTATTTTCAATTACTTTCCAATCTTTTTTTTTCCGCATGTTTTATTATCTATCAAACACACCTACAAAGAGCACTCTTTTGCCATTGCTGTGGGTGGGGTGACCCATTGTGGGATTTACCGTCAATTTTGTGACAGGAGATTGAACGTTACGTGGGTCTTACACCTTCTCCTGAAGTTGCCCCACTTCCTCATGAACAATATGCCTCTGTTCATTCTGCTGAAGATTCAATAACTTTTTCAGCCACCGGATTTTGCCGTGTCTTCCTCTGCCCCACCTGCAGAATCTGCTTGGCTTACTATGGTATTTTTGACTATATTTCTTAAGTATGTGATATTTTATCCCTTTCCCCAGCTATTAGAGTTCATGCTGTGCGTTTTGCTTCCTGTTTGGTTGTGGCTGCCAGTATGTCTCGCCCCAAGGGCTATGGATTGGTTTACTTAGGCATACCATCAATCAGACTGTCCATTTTTAGAATCTCAGTTGTTTGTGTCTATTTTGCCTTTATGGAGGGAGGTCTCCCTGATTTTCCAGTGTATTCTCCCATGTCCAGTTTTCATGCCTTGTCTTATCTTTACTTTCCTTCTGCTGTATTTATCTACCATACATCTCCTTTCTGAGGCTGTGCATGGACATCCTAAGGGTTTTTCCAGGGAGAGCCTCTTACTTCTTAACTCCATGTGTGCTTGTGTGTTATCCTTGGCTCTTGCCTTCCACACCTGATTTCTCTATTGTTGGATACTTTGGGTCATGATGCGACTTTGTCACAGATTTGTTGGCTTCCCACTAATCTTAGGGTATTTTGTTTTGCCCTTCTTTTCTTAGGTGGTATTTTCGACCATATCCTGGTCACTTTGAGCTTCTGAGTGGAATCCCTGCATCATCACTCTATCCTTTACTTCTTGGGTTGCTGTCTGATTCATGACAAGCCCTATTCCTGTTTCCAACTTCTAGTGGTTTAGTATTTCATCATTTTCTTCGATATAATTTGGCATATCGCCATTTTTACCAGTGACTACGCAGGAGATTCTAGTCCATCGGGAAATTGATTGTGCAACTTTGTTCCCCTTTGGCTATATATTTCATCTCAGATCAGTTGGTTATTTGGTTTCTCTAGGTTGGACTTGTTCCCCCATCCCTTTCCCTCCTCGTTTGTCACAGTTTCCCATTTCTTTCCTCTACCTTGGGGTCCCTTTATCAGCCAGTGTTGGGAAGAGGCTATTCAAGACCTTCGGTTTCAATTGGTTGTGAAATTGTGATTTTTTTTCTCTAGGTTTCCAGATGACTCAGGTGGTTATTGTGACTGTTTCATTCCATATAGCATTTGCTCACCTGTCACAACCATGTCTTTGGTTTGGCCTTTGAGGGGTTATTTATCAACTCTGCATATTCCCTGTGGGTTTACTCTGGCCTCATATG